GTGCTGGTTCTAGAGGTAAAGGCAAGAAAGATAACTCCATCTTAAAGAACAAATCCTCCCCCACTCCCCTTCAAGCAAGCCAGCCAATTAACTTTATAATTAAAGTTGAGTCAAATTCGTGGATCCAGCAGTGCAATTACAGGTATGCAGATATATCCTGTCAAAACATTGCTTTTCATTACTGATCTTGGAATAGTTGTTCCTGTCTGTTGTGAAGTTGGTTTCTTATTGACTTTTAGGAGGGTGTAACTTGTCAGTCTTGGAAAAAGAGTTTGAAAAAATCCTATAGTAGATCCTACATGGAATATATACATTGGTGTCTAAGCATGTGAGGGTAGAAAATACAATGCCAATTAAAAAAAAACTGAGGGTGGGGGCAGGTGTCATAGAAGATCAGGGAAGAAGTAAGGCCTGTAAGCTTGATATCTGTACTGGACAAAGGAATAGAAACTATAATAAGGAATACAGTAGTTCATACTTGGGTAAACATGATATAGTTGGGGAAAATTACATGCCTTTTTGAAAGGAAGGTTATGCCTCTCCAACCAAGAGATCAAAAATCATTTGAGTAGGATCATATGGTATTCCCTGCTAAGACTTCCAGAAAGCCTCTGTCAAAGTTTTTAACAAAAAACTCTTGAAGAAACTAAAGCAGATGTGAGACTTCAAAGAAGAGGTTCTTGCACAGATAAGTAATTAGTTAGAAAGTAGGAGTCAAGGGATAGGAATCCTCACCAGGGAGGGGGGTCACCTGTACTGCTCATAAGCAAGTTGGAAAACAGAATGAACTGTAAAGTGATGTTTTCTTGTGGGCTCAGCGAGGGCTGGTGCTAAATGTGGAGAATTAAGTAAGCCCTTGCAAGATTGGGTGGCTGAGCGATAAAACAGCACATAAACTTCTATGTAGATAAATGTAGAGTAATGTACATGGAGAAAAAATTTGTAACTGTACATGTAAAATGATAGCCTCTGAGCTGAGTGTATTTCCATGCATATAGAAGCATATGAAACTATGAGTAGCATAGAAGCAACGAGGTTTGATTTTTCAGCATCTCTCTTAATATGAGCCCTAAGGAGTGCAAGACCTTGAAACCAACAAAAGCTGGTTCAAAATAAACAAAAGGTGGTGGTTTTTCTGGGAATGTAGTTGGGCTGTGCATGAAACATTGTGCTGTGGGCTTTTACAGCTGGTAGAGGTTTACATGGTCTTACTGCGGAGCTAGATGAGCTCGTGCAGGGGAAACTGAAAATCACTATGTAGGAATCACATTTGGATCACATCCACGTCAAGAAGTCTGAGCTTGAAAATGGATAGTCTCTTGGAGTAGTAGTATGAAGATATCATATATGATTGCCCTGTTTTTCACCTTCCCTGAGCACATGCTGTTGGCAGAGTCAGGATGCTAGAGCTCTAGTGAGGCCATTCTTAGGTTGCTATATAGATCGGATGCAGCTCTTCCTCAGGATTTCAGTGCCGTGACTCAGAGAGGTTGGTTCATTCTTTTTGTGTCAATAAGAATTCATTTCCTAAAGGACTGTCTAGTGTTTTCAGGGTTTATGCTCCAGGCAGAAGTAAATAGAAATAGGACAGAGTCTGCAATCCTGAAAGAAGCCTTTGGTGCTCCCTTAAAGGCCTTCAAATTTTCTCACATTGCTCAGAAGAAATCTTGGTCTTTAGTTTTGAAGATGGGGTATGTTTCAATCCTGTTATCTGTTCCTCCAGAAAGTAAGGCTCCTCTTTATGGTTGGGAGGAAGTATTTCGTACACGTGAATGCAGAAGCAGTCCAAATTTACCTTTTGGACACAAAATAGAAGGTGTTTTTTGATTGAGACTGGTATTTCTGTACAAAACAGAAAATTTCCTGTCTTGAAGACTGTTAGTCTCTCTTTATCTTCTGTTTAAAGGAATGATGTGTAAAAGGATGGTTTGGAACCATATATTAAACCAGCTGAGATTGTTTTCTAAAGTCAGTTAGACTGGGTCTAGTCTTAGTAGCTCATAAGGTCTCAAAAATACGACCTACTGCTTAAAAAGAAGTTGATTACTTGAGTGTATGTTAATAAATCCATCATTGTAAACACTCCAGTAATCTTGCTTGGAAGATTAATAATAAGTCAATAAATTAGAAGTCATGCCACACAGAGGCTTAATACAAGATTTTAGGGTTTATGTATGGTTGACAAATGTCACTTTTATGGAATGTTTGAAGACCTCAGTCGTGCTAAAAGACCAAAGAGCAACCATTAAGATGAATCTTCTGTTCCATACAGCAAAATCCACACCTGTTCCAGCAACTTCAGCTGATCAGCTCTACCCTGTGTTCCTTCATACCTGCTGTAGCAGTCGTTTCATAAATAAAATTTTCACTGTCTGTGGAGAAATTTGTCACAAATGGAAGTGTTCCTCATAGTTCTTCTTTGAACTTAGTAGTAAATACCTAGTAGTAGTAATTGTCTTTGGCCAAATTAGACACTTGCAGATGAGACAGAGCAACAAATAATGTCTTTGCAAACACTGTATTTTGTCATATTTTTTATTAATAAAAGTTATATAGAATTTAATTTCATATTCTCTCTATATCAGGTATAAGTACAAGAAAATGGCAAGAAAAGTTAACTGAAAAAGAAATTTCAGTGCCATCTACCTGTATAGTAATTCTCACGTTCAATGCACACAACCAACCAATTAAATATATACTAAAATAATAAATACTTTCTGTAAAATTGATTGTAAATATTTCAAAATATATTTAAATACATAATCTGTATGTAAAAAATTATATTTAAAAATGATTATCTGAAAAGCTTAAATGCTTTACTGAGCACCGTATTTTGTATATTCTGTTTTATCTATTTAATATCAGTTAGTATGTATGGCATGAGTCCTTAAATGTTTTTTAACACCATACTGCATGATAGCAGATTTTTAGTTTGGGAAAGTAGAGGAAAGAACTGAGGAGCAAGATAAAGTTCATTACTATAAGAATTTAAAGATGAGATCATTGGAATTTTAAGATTATTTTTGGCAAATGGAAAAGAGCCAGAGAAATGAGGGGGGGAGTGGCAGGATGGTGGCAACTAAAGGAATATTTCTTTACCACTGAAAGATTTTTCTGGTTTTTGTAAATTGCTTAAACAGTACATTTCTAAATCCCATTTTAGAAAGTTGTACAGGCAATCAACTTTCTTCAAATATCTCTTGATGTTACAGCACAGGAATCATATGAAGTGAAATAGGATGGGAAGAGAAGAAAGAAAGAAAGAAACATACTTTCATAACTTTACTGTCACACCGTATCTTACTAGTTTTTTGCTTTGAGTGAAACAAGGATGTTTGGTTTGGCAAGAGTTCCAGATGTGAGGGACCATTGAAGAAAGCTGCTTTCCAATGGACAGTTTTCAACTAGAAGATAGCTGAGAAGGAATAAAATAAAAGATGTGGAAGGGGAGCAGGGATAGATAAAAGGTGTCAGAAGCAGCCACTGTATGTTGTCCTAAGGACAAGGATAAATCATTTACATTTTATTCAGATGTTGAGGAGAGGATTGTGGAGAAATTCAGTGCAGAGCCATGCATGATTAGAATAGTAAGTTGGGCAGGTGACTCTAATACTGATGTTTGGATGAGTTTATAATGCCCTGAACGGGAACCAGAACAGAATGCCTGAAGCCATTGCTCTCAAACCATCTAAGGGCCGTGATAAAAAACTAAGACATAATGCACTCTAGCCAGCCACATTCAAATTCCAGAAGAAGCTTTTAGTAGGGTGTTTTTGTCATGTGTAGCAGAACTATGGCTAAAAATGTTTGGAGCTGATTTGGTTTTCAATTATGTGAAGCTTGCCTTTACTTACCGTCTACCAAAAGTCGCACACCATGTTGTCATCAAGAAATGATAAGCAAGTTAAGCTGCGTTTATTTTGGAAAGAATAGCTTTCCATTCTTAGGCCAGAAAACAGAAAATTCTTCATCTGCTTTTGTCCCTCTATATCTAGAACTGTTAGGTTTATTATCAGTAAATTTTGCATTTTGCGAATATTTAACAAGGGACGGGTGCAATGTGATGCTAGTGATTGCTGTGTTACCAAAGACACTGGACATTCTTGGGGTTTTTTATGGTAAAATTGCATAAATCTTCTCATTGTGGATTAATCTAACAACTAAAAATTCTTATTCTCTGCATCTCCAAATTATTCTTTTACTTTCGCCCTTTTCATGTTAATTCTGATTTTCTCCATTGCCATGAACGATATTCTAGTAAGGAAAGGATTAGCAGTTTAGCTCTCACTATTAGCTGAGGATAAACAAAATGTCAGCTTAGTGAACCAAAGTGGATGATAGAAGAGACCATGAGAAACCAAAGCTCTAATTTAAGAGAAGATTGCTCCTTGCAACTTTTGGTTTGAGTGTGTACCCTTTCTCTTAAGCAACAGACGTTCCCTTATTTATGTTCCTGTATGTCATGATGTTCTTTAATCTCTACATAACTTAAATTCCTTTAGTATCGAAGAACATGCTTCTGATGGGCCTTTCTGCTAGTTGGCAGTATGGTGACTGCTGGCTTTTTTATGTTGTGTCAGCCAACAGCATGGATAACAAAAATATCGTTCATAAAATTGTTCAAAAATGTTGAAGTTATTTTAAATGTATCTTTTATGTATATCCTATCAGTGTTTTCATTTGTTTCTGTACTGTCTTATTTTCTTTCTTGAAATTTTCCATTAGCCAGAGAGAGATAATGAAGTATGCTAATTTTTATTTCCTTTCTCAGCCTTTTATTATATGCAATGGCTTGGCTGCAGTGCTAAGCAGCTTTAAAAGGGAGCAGCAAATAAAGTAGTGAAGCACAACTACCTTCGTGGTAATGGAATTCATTGTTTCAGTGACTAAGTATTGTAATTCATTAGAGACAGCTAATATAGTCTGAAATGCTGAATTGTTACTTTTAAAACCAGTGAAAACCAATAAGCATAATTAAACTGCTTTTTAATTTGCTTCAGAAATACAAGCCTGGTCGATGTGATGATATTTTGAAATGGAAGCCACCCAGCCTGAACTCTGTTGATTTTCGTCTAAAGATAACAAGAATTGGTGGAGAGGGGTAGGTAATCTCTTCCCTTTTTAAATGTATAACACTCCTGTGAATGTCCCTTAGCAGTTAATCTCTCCTCTGATATTTCTTGATACTTCCTGGGGCTAAGCCTTTCTATATTCTGTATAATTTGTTCATTGAAAATATAGGCAACTGTTGTAATCAGTGTTGTACTGAAAACAATGGCAGATTTTTGTTATGTAAATTTACTCATTCTTAAATTAAGTTTAATAAAATAAAGTTTGGATTTGGCACTACCCCTTTATGTTTTTAGAAAGTAGGCAGGCTTTATTTGCTTAAGTTCTTATATAAAATAACTGTTTCCATTGGGTTTATGCAAAGTAATAACAACCTAAGCTTTCTTCCATTGTAGAATTTTGCACAATGACAAACAGCACTGGTTTTCTTAGAGAAAAACAAAACTTGACATTTTTATTCAATAGGTATTCTTTGCTATTGTCTTTAAAACCATTAAAATTTTAATCAAAAACAGTGAGTTCTAATGGCAGAAGGCATGTAAATCTTTACATCACATCAGTTCTATGTATTATTTGCTTAGTTCAGTCACTGAACATATTAAATAGGGGCAATTGCCATGTTCAGTTGTGCCAGGGAGGGGATGAGGAAGATTGAGTCACTAGATTAAAGCTTGCCTTGGAAAAGATTTTGTTTAAAACGAAGTTAATTGATTTTTCGGTTTGTTAATGTTTTAACATCTGGGACTCATTTCAACTGACAGTTTGAAATACTGACATTTAGCTTTTCTTTTTCTTGGTGCCACAGGCAACTTAATACGATTAAACGATTAATTCATATATTGCTTACATATTCCAGAGTGCTAATAATGGCACATCTAACTTTTAGACATTTGCATTTCATGTTAATGAATATATTTGGTTAATAGAGAGTATCTTAAGGATATGGTTTTTATTCTGCAAAATGTACTCAGCTGCTAAATTCTGAGCATTTCATGAGGTCAGAATTATCTGTTCAGCTTTTTGTGTTTGAAAATGCAATACTGAGTCCTCAGTAACAACATAGCTATTTCAGAGAATATACAGGAATATTTTAAGTTTGACTTCAGAGAATCAGCTCATTACAAAGACTTCATGTTTGTTTGGCTTTTAAGTCACAGAACAGTGTAATACAAAAGATTTCTGTTAAAAAAAAAAATTAAGAAATTACCCATTATTTGATAGGAAGATTATTTTTATTATGGTATTCTTATGACTTCTGCTAGAGTTCATAAATATACAGCAGTAGCCTGTGATTCAGAAGCAAATCGTAACAGATTTTTTCATTTCATATTAAAAAAGGAGTATTCACTTGATTAGCTATCACTGATTTCAAATAAAAACGTGTCAGTTATCACTGATTTCAAATACAAAACTGTCAGTGCTAATGTGTTATGTTTAATATATTACCTCGTAGATTATTTGATCAGAACATGAAAAGGTTATAAAATACGAGCCAGCAAAAAACTATTTCTAAAAAGTTGGGCAGTTAGTAGCAAGTTAGTAAAGAACAGCGGATCCATCGTGGAATTGGAAACACTTTCTAAGATTTAGGAAAGTTCTACCATATTCCAGCTATGTGAAAATAAGTGCATTGCTCATATTGTGGAAATAACTATCTGAATTAGTCTGTAAGTGCTGTAATACTTAAATACGTTTATGTTTATGTTCCTCTCACATGCATAAGAAAAAAATAATCCTAGAAATTTGATATTTGATAAATAAAGTACAATTCTTCCAGATATGTTTTACTTCATCTCACATGACAGTTGAGTGCTATTAGTAACATAAGTGCATTCATCCAAGAAAAAGAAAAGTTAATGAAGTACTACTGGGTGGAAAATAATAATTTGCCATTGTTGGGAGAGAGGTATTTATGTTAAGTAATGACCTATGAAACAGTAGCTTCTGCCCAGTTAAACACAAACAATGAATGAAATACGCCAGGTTTAACCGCTTCAGTTGTTAATTTGAGTATCCCAATTTATCGCTTGGTAAAATCTGAACTCATTTGAGGAAACAGCAGAATTATACTGATTTTGAAGTTGTTGACTAGACTTTTAAAAGCAGCATCTTTAATTTTAGACTGTAAAAAGGCAGTTCCTGAGTTCTGAGCACTACCATAATAAAATGATTGATATGTGATAGAACTAAAAATTCTGTTTTGATGAACTGAATGTCTTGCTGCTGGCAATTCTAACATGGCCACGTTAGGCTTCCTGCCTCCCACCACCCCACTGCGATTAAAAGCAGACATTGATATTGATTTCAACCTTTTAGGTAAAAGAAGTTTTCTTCTTCCGTAATCCAAAAAGAAATCTTGCATGCATGTAACAGCAGAGTAATGCAGATGTGGTTAAAGTACTGTTATAGAATTTGTGTGTTGTTTTGGTACAGTTAAGCAATAATATTTATGGAAATAGAAGGTATGCCTTTGTATTGATCTCTTACTGACAAATGAGGAGCCAAAGTCAAAGTATTGATCTCAAATACTTGACAGCTTGAAGCAATGAGAACAGGGATTTTCTGTAATTTCCAAGTTCTGATTTACAGCCTCATCTTTAAATCTTGAAATGCAGGCATTTCTAAAGCTGTGCTACAAGTGTGTGTGATTGTATCACGGTTTACAGCCTAGCCAGTGGCGATACAGGCTGAACCTGTATCGCAAAACTCCAGCCATGCAGCCCTTGTATTTATAGTTCCCTGTTCACTTAAATAGTGAAAAAAGCATAGAGGAGCATTATTTATTCAGTAGCATGAGATTAGAGCACTGTCAGCTGTTGGACATGTCTTTTGGCTAGCATATGTAATTGAGCTCCTGAACAATTGTAAACAATCTTGTGCACTTTTCGTATGAATAAAGGAGTTACCTCTAGGGAGTTTGCCAGATTTTAGTCAGTATGATTATTTTCCATCTACCTAAAATTCCCCTGTGTTTTCAGTTGTGCATTTCCATCCATAGATCAGTCTGCAATAGTAATGTTAACTGCAAAATAGCTGCTGTGTTTCACCCTAGATGTAGTTCAGTTACGGATGAATGACCAGTTGTTTTTATCTAGGGTTCAGTTATTTAACTGTTGGTATCGGAGGGAGTTTTGCCATTGAATTAAAAAGAAGGATTGGGCTTATGATCTATGAAGTACTTTTAGAATAAGCTTCCCTATAAAGATGAAGACTGCATAACAAAGAATAAACATAAAGAAAAAAGATACTACTGCATCCGAAAGAAAGGCAGGGTTTCTGTAGCCTCAGAGACCTAATACTGACACTCCTGTTCAGTGCATATATTTGAAAGAAATTGCATTATTGCACCTTGGTGAGTTACAGCTTATCAGCTGAGCCATGGTAATTGTCCCCTGTGTATTGTCATAGTCCAGCCTGTCCAAGCATCAGGATGATGGTTAGATTCACTCTTTTTATATTGTGTTTGCAAGAATTCCAGCTTATGCTCTCTCACAATCTCTTCTCCTCACATCAATACAGTTGCTTTTATTTAAAAAAATAAAACCAAACAAACAAAAAAACCCAAAGCAACCAACAACTTATATCAGCTAAACAGGAAAGTACTTTGTTGTTTATCTCTGGTGAAACACAGCAGTTGAACTGAAAAGCCCTCACATTACGTGTGCTTTAAAAGGGTAGACCCACTTCCTAGCACTTCTCTATCATTTCAGGTTTATTAAGATATTGGTCTCACATCAGCAATGTGAAGTGGACTCCTTTGATCATATAACAGTACCTTGTATTTTTCCTGAATTATGATGATACTCATAGAAAATAAAATAACAAGGACTTAAGCACATCAACTGCATTTCCAAATGACCTACAAATGAAATGACCTTATCAGAAGAGAATGTGGAGGATATTTAATTGCTGTGTGCAATATCTCAAGTATATTAGAGAATACTGTTTTTAAACAGTAGAGATGCTTTTTCCCATAATGTCTGACTCTAAGAATATTTCTTAAAAAAATAAAACCCCCAAACCAACTCTGAACCTTATTTAAATGTCACAAATATCAACTGAAAATGTCTGCATAGTGCTAGATTTGTGGTAGCTTCCCAAACCAGAATTTCATAAATGTCCATGCTTCCTTTTACAGTTTTTTAATGAGTCTGTGCAAATCCCTTAATTTTATCTGAATCAGACACGCTAAAATCAAATTACAAGCAAGGCTTTAGTTTTATTGGCTTTAAATTAATATCTTACTGGGTCAATTCGATACCATTTCAAATCACAGAATAATATACATTTTATATAGATCCTTGAAGTATTGGAAAGAATAAAGAATTTTACTGATCTTCTAAGAGAGAAATAGTAATAATGGCTTGTTTCTTTAAAAAAAGTTAGTAATCTGAAGTAGACATGAACTCTTTGTTAGTAGCACGTCTGTATTGGTTTTTTTTATTATATCCATGATTAAGCAGACCACATGGGGGGAAAAAAACCAAACAGTGTTTAGGCAAAGTTCTATTTAGCTTGGGCATTGTCAAGTAATAAAAAATGGGAGATAAAGTACAACACATTTGAGGACAGCGGGGGACTTCAAATCTTGACAGCAGAAGCTTAAAGTCTTGGATATATTGGTAATTACAAATCAACAACCAGATATAGATATCATGACTACAGGCAAGTGAATATTTTCCTTCTGTTAGATGTGATGTTGTCCTTTTTCTTCTGTAAATTAGAAAGAGCTTCTGAAGGGTGCGGGGAGTGAGGGGAAGAAGCTGCAACTGGTTCAAAATAACCATGATGTTCTTGATTTGCTCTCCTATAGCTATGTTGTCTGTCACAGAGTGGCTTATCCATTGTATAAGCTGGTCTTCCTTGCTCTTCTGCTTTGAAAAAAAATTGGTAACTGGCTGAAAAACCAGGAAAGTTAATTGAATCAGCTAAGATCTGCAGAACTGACATGATAGTTTGTTTGGCCCGTGTTTTGTTGCTCCCTCCTCTCTTTCCATTCCCCCCTTTATGTGATTCATAAATTGTTGGTTT